CATTTCAGGGAAGCCTTCCCTGACCACTCAATCTAATTAGCAATGTCCCACTCCCACCACTCAGCATTCTCTATCATCTCAACATGTTTTATTTCTTCATAATACTTGTCATGGTCTGTAATTACTTTTCTTCGTGTCTTTGTTAGTTTATTTTCTCTCCCTAAACTAGAGTGTCAGTTCCATGAGAAAAGGGGTCTTATTTGTCTTGTGTGCCCCTGTACACTCAAACCAACAGTATTACTTGAATGAATGACTGACTGACATATATGACCCTAGATGTATCCCTAGGTATGGCTAACTGTCGACTGCCTTAGAAGTGATCCCAGAAGATCACTGATGCCTAGAGTTCACCATTTTCCTCACTTACCATATTTATTGCAACATTAATATTAAAAAATATAAAACTAGAGTCAGCCCTGGCCGGTTTGGCTCAGTGGTTAGAGCATTGGCCTACAGTCCCGAGAGACCCGGGTTCGGTGTTTGTCCCCGGCCCTGGTTGGTCATGCAGCCACTCAATGTGTCCCTTTCATGTCGATGTTTCTCTCTCTCTCTCTCTCTCTCTCTCTCTCTTCCTCTCTCTCCCTCCCACTCTATCTGAACAAAAAATGGAAAAATGTCCTCGGGTGAGAATAAAAAAAAATTAAAAAAATATAAAACTAGATTCAGTCAGATATTGTATGGTATGGCTTCAGTAACACAGAAAACTTGGAAGACTGAAAAGTTGGGAAGAGCTGCTCTCCGAGTCTCAGGAGAAGAGAATAAGTACCTCATTGCACCATGACTAAGAGGAGCCATTACTTGGCTTTTGTTAGGATAGTGCTGCTGCCAGCAGTTTAAGTAACATCCAATGTTTATGCCAAAGGAACTTTTGCAACTGGAGCTTTGAAAAACAGAAAAAGATCTGGCTGTTTTGGCTCAGTGGTTGGAGCACTGGCCTGCGGACCAGGGAGTCTCAATGTTTCTCTCTCTCTCTCTCTCAAACACACACACACACTCTATCTGAGGATAAATAAAAAATATCCTCGGGTGAGGATTAAAAAAAAAAAAAAGAAAGGAACAAGTTGGGATTGGGTAAGGCTGGATAAAGACTTTTCACCAGGGGCAGCCAATCCTAGGGTGTTTTTATGCAACTACATTTAAACACTCAACTCAGACTGTGACTCTGCTTGCAGGCAAGTCTCCTTTGGAATATATTACCTACCGGGAGATAGACAACAAATCTGGATATATTTAGAGAATGTGTGGTTTCGCTTTCTTTTACTTAACCATTTATTCTAAATAAATGTCTATGGGGCTTTACACCATGGCTTATAAGACATTCAATTTTAATTCTTTGAGGGTGTGGGCCACACCACTTGTTCACTCTCTGGCCCTGCCCAAATCCACTTTTGTTCAGCAAAAACTACTCCTTTTCCTGGAAGTTCATCGAAAGGAATGAATATTAGACACAGAAAGAAAGATCTTGAAGGGATAAGATGTTATAACAGAATGACTCTCCTTTTCCCAACCTTTAATGCCAAGAACTGCTTGTACCCATGCTCTGTGACAAAGGGGATTAGGTAACACATATATCTCTGCTCCAAAATATGATTAAATTTTCTTTTGAGCAAAGCTATATTTATTTCCCTTGCTCCTCCCCAATTTCCCTAAAAGTACTAAGAGATTATTTCACAAACACTGCCTTCCTTCAAAGAACTTTAGCTAAGAATTAAAATATTTAATCAACTAAAGCAATAAGGAACTCTTTTTCAATTCTCAGTCTCTCAAATTATCTCATTTCCCCAAAATTTGTGCATTTCAATTTCAAAGACGTGAAAAAGATATTTCATTTCATAAAAAATTTCAAAGGAAAACACCTTGAGAAAAGATTTGTAGAAAATATGACAACCCTGGCCGGTTTGGCTCAGCGGTTAGAGTGTCGGCCTGCGGTCCAGAGAGACCCGGGTTTGGTTCCCGCTAAGGGCATGTATCTCGGTTGCAGTTTGTCCCTGGCCCTGGTTGGTCGTGCAGGAGGCAGCCACTTGATGTGTCCCTTTCACGTTGATGTCTCTCTCTCTCTCTCTTCCTCTCTCTCCCTCCCACTCTGTCTGAAGAAAAAATGGAAAAATATCCTCAAGTAAGAATAAAAAAAAAAAGAAAATATGACAAACTATTAATACCTTTATTAAATGAAATAACGTCTCCAATGGATACGATAAAACATTATGTACCAGAGAGATAGACTCAGAAGAGACATTTTAAAAGGGAAACACAGCCCTGGCCAGTTTGGCTCAGCGGTTAGAGCATCGGCCTGCGGTCCGGAGAGACCCGGGTTCGGTTCCCGCTAAGGGCATGTACCTTGGTTGCAGTTTGTCCCCGGTGGTCGATGTTTCTCACTCTCTCTCCCTCCCATTCTATCTGTACCAAAAATGGAAAAAATATCCTCGGGTGAGGATAAAAAAAAAAAAAAAAAAAAAAAAAGGGAAACACAGCCGTGGCTAGTTTGGCTCACTGGTTTGGAGCATTGGCTGGTGGACTATAGAGTGGCAGGTTCCATTCCAGTCGAGGGCACGTACCTCAGTTGTGCTTCGGTCGTGGGGGAGGCAACCAGTCAATGTGTCCCTCTCACATCGATGTTCCTCTCTCTCTCTCACTCCCTCCCACTCTATTTGAAGATAAATAGAAAAATATTCTCGGGTGAGGATTAAAAAAAAAATAAAGGAGAAATACATAACACTATCTCACCTTGCCAGTAATCCTAATAAATAAATTTAAAATGTGCTTATTTCTAGCCTATAAAATTATAAATAAAGTTAAACAATCTTTTCCCCATTCTTAAATAAAACCCCAAGGCATTCTTTATTAAAACAAAATATTATTAAGAAACCCAGGCAAATTGGGTTGCATGCCCCCTATGTGAAAAAGTGGGCCATGAGGACTATTTCCCTTGCTCTCCTTCCATCAGGGACTTCTGAGGAAGCTTGAGGGAGCGTCTCATTCCCCAGCACCCTATTTTTAAATGATTAAAGACGATGTAACAGGCATATTTTTGCAATGCCGAGATTCTAAATCATGTCAACCACTTTGAAACGCAATCTGGAAATATTCTATAAAAATCACCAAACTATTCACGTCCACTGACTACCTTCACTTCTGAGACCTTTGGACGGGCTGTATTACATGAAGATACTAATTGTGGCATTATTTAAGAGGGTGAAACTTTAGGACGATAATAAATGCATGTATTCAACCATTTAATGATTACTTAGTGAGCAAAGGACCTTGCAAAAGCTAATGTTTCTATTAAAGCAGTGGTTCTCAACCTTCCTAATGCCGCGACCCTTTAATACAGTTCCTCATGTTGTGGTGACCCCCAGCCATGGAATTATTTTCGTTGCTACTTCATAGCTATAATTTTATTACTGTCATGAATCACCATCGGAAATATGTGTTTTTCGATGGTCTTAGGTGACCTCTGTAAAAGGGTCGTTTGACCTCCCAAAGGGGTCGCGACCCACAGGTTGAGAACCACTGTATTAAAGGCTGAGAGAAAATAGGAATGGCTGGGAAACAGTTAGAAAGGACATGGAGTTCATTAGATAGTGCCTACTATGCACTATGGCTTTTATCTCACTGGAGGACACTGATTCCTTAAATTAACTTAGTCCAGCTACCATATTACCAAAGAATACAATGAAAACCAGAAGAGAAAATATGTCAGGTTGTGGCATTATCATTCTTCAGGTAAAATCACAATCCTGACATTGGTAAAGTCTCCCTGAAAGGAATAAAGATAAAAATAACCTAAAGCATTTCTCCGGGATTTCCTGTCTTGGCCATGGATCTAGGACATCAATAGCTATTTGAAGCACTCCTGACTAGACAAAAAGAATAAGGATGGCTTCTGCTAGAAGGAGCTAGACAGGAGGTCTCTCCCTGGTACACTCCAAGCTTAAAATAAATAAAAGCATTTTGTAAATAAGATTATCCAGTATCACATTCCTTTCTGTGTTTATTTTCCTTGCATAACCCCATATCTTTATTAATGTTTTATTTAAATGCCTCCAGTCTAGTTTCAGCGGTGCTGTGGGTAAAGGAAGGATTCCTTATTTTAGCCAACCAGAGACGATATTCCAGCCCCCCATCGCAGCCCACCTTCCATGCCTTAAGCTGGTGTGATGATGGCAAAGGTGATGAGTGAGAGATGCCCTAGCCTAGGAGAGGTGTTTCTCCGAGGCCAAGGGCAGGCAGTCTCTATAGGGAAGCATTCTTTATCAGCATTCTTCAAGGAGTTGGTATTGATTTGATTACTGAGTCACTTCTTCGTATCCTCAAGAATGTTAAGAAAATCAGACAGTTTAAAAATAAGCATCTTGAAATAAAAAATGAGACCAGGAAAATAAAAATACTATTGAGAGCACAAAAGCAAGCAAACTAATAAAGACAAACTTCAGGCTATTGCAACTCTCTTTGCCTGTTTATTTTCAGAAGGGGGCAATTTATCAAAACTAAATGGAAATGATTGCTTTAAGTGGGAAGACAAGTGTAAATCAAAGCAAAATTTCTTTGTATATTTAAAGCAAAAACAAACAAAGAAGATATTCTAATATAATCACTTATTCAAAAGAAAAAAACAGAAAAACAAGTATAATCAGCGTGTTTTTTTAAACGACATTTAAAAAGATTATTTAATTGTTTTCTGTAAACAGCATGCATCTAATCTCACAACCAGATCCATGCTATGTATACAGAAAGTTTAATCAGTCTAAACATGAAGTGAACTGGATTTCAGGTCTTTTTCACAACACAAAGCACATTATTAGCACATTCCTGGACAGCTCTCCTTTTATTTTCTCTGATTTGTTTTATATTCATTTTATCTTGGGGTAAATCATTTTATCTGTGTAAGTCAGCTAAACTATGTTCTGGAAGAAGATGGAGTATAACAAACAAAAATTATTCTCTCTCAATACTTTTTCTTTCTGGAATTACTTTTCCTCCAAGAGAATTGTTACTCTTACCTTCGGTTGTTTGCAAAGGTAGCGACAAATTTCTCCAATATATTGAAACACGGTCACATTATACTTTTTGCAATCATTCCAAAATTGGCTTGCTGAAAATTTCTTCTTTAACACACAAGTAGCTCCTATGAGAAAAGGCAAAGAGGCACTAGGTAAAAAATTCAGGAGCCAAATTAACATAAAACACACATGATGCTGCTCTGTCTAGAACACTTAATCACTTTCAAAGCTTTTAAAATCCATCAGTGGCCATTTATATGGAGCTCATTTGAAAACATTAATCTTACAGTCCATATCCTGAGGTTGAGAGTAAGGTAGTTAGTAAAATAGTGCCAACGAAAAGTCCATTAATGACTGCAGCACCTAAATTTAGCAACATTGTGAGCCACACAGATATGTCCAACGGAAAACCCCTAATGATTTGACCTTCATCTTTACTTACTGTGGACACTGATATGCTACTCTATAAAATTACTTTGTGGTATTTTAGACATATAAATAGTAGTAAATGATCTCTATTTATATATTATTTTAGGACTAGTTAGTAATGGACACATAATCTCAGCAAGTTTACGAATCCACCATGTCATAAGCACTACCAACTGACTTGTTGGGTGTCTGAATACATTGTGTGTAAACATAGCCTCAGCGATTCTTTTTTTTTAATTTTTTTTATTTTATCCTCACCCGAGAACATTTTTGCATTTTTTGTTCAGACAGAGTGGGAGGGAGAGAGAGGAAGAGAGAGAGAGAGAAACATCGATGTGAAGGGACACATCGAATGGTTGCCACCCGCACGACCAACCAGGGCCGGGGACAAACTGCAACCGAAGTACGTGCCCTTAGCGGGAACCGAACCCAGGTCTCTCAGGACCGCAGGCCGACGCTCTAACCACTGAGCCAAACCGGCCAGGGCTCAGCGATTCTTATTATGCACTTACTTTTGCAATGTGAATTTGCCACTCCTCACTTCAAGAGATGAGATCTATTTCCCAACTCCTCAAATTCTGAAACTGGATTGGATTGTGACTTGTTTTGATCAACAAAATATGCAGGTGAAATGATCTATGTGACTTCCAAGGATAAGCCTTAAGAGCTATGCAGCTTCACCCTGGCTGGTTTGCTCAGTGGTTAGAGCATTGGCCTGCAGGTTTGGTTCCCACTAAGAGGGCACGTACCTCAGCTGCAGTTTGTCCCCGGCCCTGATTGGGGTCGTGTGGGTGGCAACCACTCAATGTGTCTCTCTTGCATGATGTTTCTCTCTTTCTCTTCCTCTGTCTCTCCCTCTCACTCTATCTGAAGATAAATAAATGCAGGAATGTCCTCGGATGAGGATTAAAAAAAAAAAAAAGAGCTATGCAGCTTCCACATTCACTATCTGGTTCCTACCAGCACTTAAGGAGGCAGGGCAGACTACTAATGGACAAGTGGCCACAAGGAGAAGAAAGCTCAGTCAACAGCCAAATTCCCAGAGCACCACTCCTTCCACTTTAGGAATACACTGAGTATGTCAGGAACTTGTGTACTTTCAATAAACTGTATAATTTAGTAAATGATATAATGACATAAAATGCACACAATCACTCTGAATTCTACTGGTAGAGTTTTAAACTTTAAACGCAAGTTCTAATTACTAGGCATTTTGAAAACTTTTCATACAGAAAATAAAAACTTACCTAACTCAATACATCCACCAATTCCCAGGAGAGATCCTGAGCTATGATACAGAGGAAGGGTTATATAAATGATGTCATCAGAAGTACAACCAAAAGCCCACAGTCCAGCAGAACCCTTTACAGCCTGCAGCTGAGTAATCACAGCTGCTTTAGGTAGACCTGGAAGAAAATAAAAAAATACATATGTAATAGAAATCAAGTCTAGTCATTCCTGGACATCTTTGAGGCTACCTAACCAAGGCCAACAAAGACCCTCAAGGCAAAAAAAAGTGGAATTAGAGATGACAGCAACAAAATTTAGAAAATCAGATGGACCACTGACAACATCCACTCAAGAAGCTGAAAAGAAGAATTCCAAAATGGCTGTGTGGTGACTGGAAGCTACACAGACCATCTCCCAGGACCAAACTGGAATTACAACGAAAACAAAGACAAATCATCAGGGAAAAAGCATCAGAAAAGCAGCTTGCGAGGACCATATAACCAGGGAGACTGACTCGATCCTGGTAGGATTGCGGAGGTGCGAGAGGAGCCCACGGTGGGCAGCAGCCTTAGCTGTAAGCAGTGCCCTCAGGGTTACACTCCCAAGTGGCTCCACATGCAGAGCCAGGACAGACGCTAAAATAGCCACAGCCACACTCACCTTGGGCTGCACCAGAGGGAGGGCTGACTGGACTGGAACTGTGTGGGGACACTCGGGATTTGGAGAGTGCTCAGAGCTCTTGCTGAGTTGCAGCCACATAGGACAGCGGCCATCTTGCTCCTTCCCAGAGCTCTGGGGAGAGGCAGTGGCCCCTCCCTCGGAGATTCAACCCCACCCTGTGGGCCATTGAAATGCATATTGAGGCTCATTAACAACCTGCATCTGCCCTACACTCAGGAAACCCCTTACTCTGAGCACCTGTGGGAGTTTACCATTCAACTCAGAAACCAAGGCTCTTCAAGTAACTGCAACTAACAGCCTCCAGGAAAAAAGCAAGAGGATACCTGAAACATTCCTGGGCTAGCAACTCTAACCAAGAAAATAAGACTTGACAGTGGTGTTTAACGTGGGTCCTCCCTGGCTCATCCAAATCCAGTAGAGGGAGCCACAAACAGCAGAACACCAAAACCCACAAGGAAAATTTGGTAGGCTCCAAAGTCCACTGTGATAGCTAAAATGGTGAAACAAAGACACACAAATGTCAAATGAAAGAACAAGAGGCCTCTACCGAAGATGACATAAATGACGAGCAGTTAAGCAAGTTAACAGAGCTAGAATTCAGAGCCATGATCTTGAGGAAGCTCAACGGTATGAATAAGGACATCAACACCATGAGTAAAGACATAGAAATGTTGAAAATCAACCAACGGGAAATTAAAAACCATCAAGAAGAAATGAAGAATGACATATCAGAAATAAAGAATACATTGGAAGGTCTAAACAGCAGAGTAGAGGAAGCTGAGGACTGGATCAGTGAATTAGAAGACAGGGTAAAAAAAAAATCAATCAATCAGAAAACCAAAAGGAAAAAACAATTAAAAAACAGGAAGACAGCTTAAGAGAACTGTGGGACAACTGAAAACGTAATAACATTCGCATTATAGGAGTCCTTGAAGAAGAAGAAAATGAGCAAGGGTTAGAGAAAATATTTGAAGAAATAGTGACAGAAAACTTCCCTAATTTGGGGAAGGAAGAAGGCATTCAAGTTCAAGAAGCACAGAGAGTCACAAGTAAGAAGAACCCAAATAGGCCCACACCAAGACACATAGTAATTAAAATCCCACAAATTAAAGACAAAGAGAGAATTCTAAAAGCACCAAGAGATATGCAACAGGTTACCTACAAAGGAGCCCCCATAAGGTTCTCAGCTGACTTCTCAACCGAAACACTATAGGCCAGAAGGGAAAGGCACAAAGTAATCAAGGTCATGAAAAACAAGGATCTAAATCCAAGACTACTCTACCCAGCAAGGCTATCATTCAAAATAGAAGGTCAAATAAAGAGCTTCCCAGACAAAAAAGAAGGCTAAGAGAATACATTAGCACCAAACCAGCACTACAAGAAATGTTAAAAGGACTGCTGTAATTAGTAGAAGAAATAGGAAGAAAAATAGAACCACACTAAACAAAAATGGCAATAAATAAGTACATATCAATAATCACCTTAAATGTAAATGGATTGAATGCTCTGATAAAAAGACACAGAGTAGCTGATTCGATAAGAAAGCATGACTCATCTATATGTTGTTTACAAGAGATCCACCTCACAACAAAAGACTCACATAGATTGAAAGTGAAGGGATGGAGCCCTGGCCGGTTTGGCTCAGCGGTTAGAGCGTCGGCCTGCGGTACGGAGAGACCCGGGTTCGGTTCCCGCTAAGGGCACGTACTTCGATTGCAGTTTGTCCCCGGCCCTGGTTGGTCGTGCGGGTGGCAGCCACTCGATGTGTCCCTTTCACGTCGATGTTTCTCTCTCTCTCTCTCCCTCCCACTCTATCTGTACAAAAAATGGAAAAATGTCCTCAGGTGAGGATAAAAAAAAAAAAGAAAAGAAAGTGAAGGGATGGAAAAAAACCTTCCAACCAAACGGAAAAGAAAAAAAGCTGGGGTACCAATACTCATATCTGAAAAAATAGATTTCAAAATGAAGTCCATAACTAGATACAACGAAGGCCACTACATAATATTGAAAGCATCTATCCAACAGGAAGATATAACCTTGATAAACATATATGCACCCAATATAGGAGCACCAAAATATATTAAAAATCTTCTGGAGGACTTCAAAGGAGAAATCAACAGCAATACAATCATAGCAGGGGACCTCAACACCCCATTGACAGCACTGGATAGATCCTCTAGGCAAAAAATTAGCAAGGAAACAGAGACTCTAAATGAAGCACTAGACCAAATGGATTTAATAGATATCTACAGAATTACAACCCAAAACTACAGAATTCACATTCTTCTCAGGTGCACTTGGGACATTCTCAAAGATAGACCACATGTTAGGACATAAACTAAATCTCTACAAGTTCAAGAAGATTGAAATGATATCAAGCATCTTCTCAGATCACAATGGCATGAAACTAGATATCAATTGCAACAAGAACATGCAATGACATTGGTACACATGGAGGCTAAATAGCATGTTATTAAACAATGAATGGGTTACCGAGGCGATCAAGGAAGAAATTAAAAAGTTCCTGGAGCCCTGGCCAGTTTGACTTAGCAGCTGAGAGTCGGCCTGCAAAACAGAGAGTCCCGGGATCAGTTCCCACTAGGGGCATGTACCAAAAAAAAAAAAAAAAAATTCCTGGAAACCAATGAAAATAAACACAATACAATACAACATCTATGGGATGCAGCAAAAGAAGTTCTGAGAGGGAAGTACATAGCACTACAGGCTTACCTCAAGAGACAAGAAAAATCTCTAATAGACTATCTAACCTCACAACTTAAAGAACTAGAAAGCAAACAAAAAGAAAACCCCAGAGCAAGTAGAAGGAAGGAAATATTAAAGATCCGAGCAGAAATAAATGACATAGAGTCCAAAAAAACAATTCAAAGGATCAATGAAACAAAGAGTTGGTTTTTCGGAAAGAAAGATTGATGGCCCCTTAGCTAGACTCACCAAGAAACAAAGAGAGAGAACCCAAATACACAAAATCAGAAATGAAAGAGGAGAAATAACAACTGACACCACAGTAATAAAAAGGATCATTACCAACTACTATGAACAATTATATGGCAACAAATTCGACAATCTAAGCGAAATGGACAAATTTCTAGAAACACACAGCTTTCCACAACTGGACCGGGAAGAGATAGAAAACTTGAACAGCCCAATAACAACAAAGGAAATTGAAGAGGTGATCAAGACTTCCAGAAAACAAAAGCCCAGGCTCAGTTGGCTTCACGGGGGAGTTTTACCGAACATTTAAAAAAGAACTAACAGCCCTGGCCAGTTTGGCTCAGCGGTTAGAGTGTCGGCCTGCGGTCCAGAGAGACCCGGGTTCGGTTCCCGCTAAGGGCACGTACTTCGGTTGCAGTTTGTCCCTGGCCCTGGTTGGTCGTGCGGGTGGCAGCCACTCGATGTGTCCCTTCACGTCGATGTTTCTCTCTCTCTCTCCTTCCTCTCTCTCCCTCCCACTCTATCTGTACAAAAAATGGAAAAATATCCTTGGGTGAGGATAAAAAAATAAAATAAAAAAAAATAATAATAAAAAAGAACTAACACCCATTCTCCTCAAACTATTTCAAAAAATTCAAGATGAAGGAAGACTTCCAAACACGTTCTATGAGGCCAGCATAATTCTAATTCCAAAACCAGAAAAAGACACTGCAAAGAAAGAAAACTACAGGCCAGTATCTCTGATGAACATAGACGCAAAAATCCTGAACAAAATACTAGCAAATTGGATCCAGCAATACATCAAAAAAATTATTCACCATGACCAAGTGGGATTCATCCCAGGGATGCAAGGCTGGTACAATATTCCCAAACCAATAAATGTGATACACCACATAAATAAAGTGAAGAATAAAAACCACATGATCATATCAATAGATGCTGAAAAGCATTTGACAAAATCTAGCATCCATTTCTGATAAAAACGCTTAGCAATCTGGGAATAGAGGGATCATATCTCGACATAATAAAGGCCATATATGAAAGAACTACAACCAACATCATATTCAATGGGCAGAAACTAAAAGCATTTCCCTTAAGAACAGGAACAGGACAGGGATGCCCACTTTTGCCACTCTTATTTAACACAGTACTGGAAGTCTTAGCCACAGAAATCAGTCATGAAGAAAAAATAAAAGGGATCCAAATTGGAAAAGAGGAAGTGAAACTCATTATTTGCAGATGACATGATATTATACATAGAAAACCCTAAAGATTCCATCAGAAATCTACTAGACTTAATAAATGAATTTGGCAAAGTAGCAGGATACAAAATTAACGTCAAGAAATCGACGGCATTCTTATACACCAATGATGAACACACAGAAAGAGACACTGAAAAAACAATGCCATTTACCATTGCAGCAAAAAAATTAAGATACCTAGGAATAAACTTAGCCAAAAAAGTAAAGGACCTATTTGCAGATAACTACAGGACATTAAAAAAAGAAATAGAGGAAAATATTGAAAAGTAGAAGCACATACC